GCCGTTTTGCTTTTTCTTAAGTTTTTTACGCGATTTCTTGTTGGATGCCATGGCACATGCATCCGCACTGTCGACCTTGTTATCTTTTAGGAACTGCGTCGGATTTTTACACGGGGAAGCACTAGGGCGACGAACAGGAGAACGGGAACGCGACCGGGATCGCGGGCGTTCAGGAGATCGCGAATGGAAACGCGAGCACGGCTCAGATCGTGATTAATTAAGCGGGCTACGGAAAAAACTACACTACGCAAACAAATTAGGGGAGCACTTTAAAAACTGCAAATTTTGTCGATTTTCAGAAACCAATATCTCGGCTTCCAAGAATCGCAGGACATTGTTCCTTAGCGCGTTTTGAAGGGTAAGGCCTCTGCTTTAAAATGGCCTAAGTAAGATTTTTTGTCCCAATAAACTTTTTTTTTTTTTCACAAAAACCAAAAGCAGAGTGTTTGAGTCTTAAAAATGTTATGACATTGCAGCCTTTCATGGGCAAAGCAACAACGAGGCGAGAAACGTCACCACATTAGTTTTAAAGCCGAAAACATTCCCTTGAAAATGGCATAAAGAAAATTGTTCTAGCTTGCCTAGAAGCTGAGTTATCAGGTCTTGAGGTGATACGCCGAAGGGGCGGGAATACCTCATACTGAGTAGTATGCGCACATACACCTACCCGCCCATCCACATTTCACAACCAATCGTCACCTATCCACACACACACACACACACACACACACACACACACACACACACACACACACACACACACACACACACACACACACACACACACACACACACACACACACACACACACACGACACACACACACACACACACACACACACACACACACACACACACACACACACACACACACACACACACACACACACACACACACACACACACACACACACACACACACACACACACACACACACACACACAATAATGTGTAAACTCCGACCGAGCAACCTTCTCTCGTGGTGCACATCGAATGCCTGCGGTACTTGATCAAAATCTTGCAAAGAACAGGGTCTACTTTGGAACCTGATAACTCAGCTCCTAGGTAAGCTAGAACAATTTTCTTTATGCCATTTTAAAGAGAATGTTTTCGGCTTCAAAACTAATGTGGTGACGTTTCTCGCCTCGTTGTCGCTTTGCCCATAAAAGACTGCAATGTCATAACATTTTAAGACTCAAACACTCTCTGCTTTTGGTTTTTGTGAAAAAAACAGTTTATTGGGACGAAAAATCTCACTTAGGCCATTTTAAAGTAGAGGCCTTATCCTTCAAAACACGCTAAGGAACAATGTCCTGCGATTCCTGGAAGCCGAGATATTGGTTTCTGAAAATCGACAAAATTTGCAGTTTTTAAAGTGCTCCCCTAATTTTTTTGCGTAGTGTATTAGCGTGAGTTGTCCATGTCGCGAGAGGAACTGAGAAATGTCTAGGGGATAAGGATCTATCGAGGGACATCGACCGCTATATGGTCAAGGTCGATGCCTCGTCTTTCCTCGCGCTCGTAATACCTGCCGAACATATTAATTCGCAGAAGTCAGCACTAATATATAAGCACACACTCGATAATATAAATAATCACACAAGGAACCGAAAGGAAGCAGGGTGTTACACCACTGCGTTGCCGAGAAGAAACTGCGCAGGCACTGGGAGAGGGGAGACACACGTCCACACTCGACCACAGCTCGCACTCGAATCCACGCAACTAGAGGCAGTGACTCGCATTCTAAAAAAATTTCTGCGTTCCGAAACTCATTTAAAAAAAAGTGTCGCAACCTAAACACAGTATAACCAGTAGGTTCCACTCAGCGAAAAATTGAGTCTTCGCGCAGGTATCGCCGCGCAACTTTTGTTTTGGGTTGGATCCAATGAAATGCAAGACGATAGGAACGTATGTACGTATATATATGTACAGACAATTTATAAGCAATTACATCAGAGATTTTCTTTAGTGATCACTCCTACGAATAATTGTTACAAATAAAACGTTTTATTCGATTCACACATTGAATTTATTA